ACGAGCAGGCATATGGTCTTGCTGGTGAACAACTGGGAGTGGGAGAATAACAACAACGAAATTGTGGGCTAAATCCAACCACATTCAACAGACTCCTGTCCACCTGGATTGAGACCTGGGGACTCCTGGACCCAGGGACATGGCCACAGAGGACTAGAGTGGAGGAGAGTGAAGCATGGATGCTGGAGCTGATATGAAGAGAGGGGAGATGCACAAGAACACCCACACTTGCAGATAGCACCCATTTGACCTGACATCAATGGCTGGATGATCGGAACTCGACTAGAGGAAGAAAGAAGAGGAAGAAAGAAGAGGAAAAAAAGAGTAATGCACTACAGTTTGATGTAGTTGACATATACTAATGGATATAGTAGCTCAAAAGAGGAAACGAATCTTTACAGCAAGGATCATTCCAACCCCTCTGTATACAGGGTTGACAGGGATGGACAACTTAGACATTGGTTACCCAAAATGGGGGGACTACAAAGGCACTAAGTGACTGGCTTACAAGCTTTCAAGAGGGAGCTTAGTTTCAGAGGGTATAGGGAAATGTAGAATCTCCACTGAGTGGTTTCCAATCTGTCTGGACAGGGCTGGTGAAAGGAGATGGGGCTAAGACTCTTGTGGTTCAATAGTGAATAATTGCTATCAGGACTGATTGTGAGGGTTGCAAATCAAAGGTAGACATTTTGTAACTAATGGATGGGAGTGGTTAATCTTGCAGTCCAGGAGGACCCTGAGACCATCAAGAGAGAAGAGCAGAGTGCGGGACCCTATCCAGAGTGATACCAGAGATGGAGGCAGAGATGATGACATGGAGAGATGGAGCGACTGGGGACCCTGGACTCAGGGAGGGAGAGGGGCTGTGTGTTGATGGCCGAGGGGCAGACTTGTGGGATGTGCCCTTTAATTGTTTATTTGGTTGTATATTCCTGAATGCTTCAGTGTACATTAAAAAAAAAAAGAAAGAAAGAAAACAGACGGAATGGAAGCAAATGCTGTTGAATACATGAAGGGGATTGTAATCATTGCAATAAAATGAAATATGATATGATAAATATAAAGCTGATGTTCTCCCATGTAAACTATCACCCAATTCACAATAAAAACTTTAAAAAAAATGAATGAATTATTCGCACCAGAAATTACCGCACTTTCCATATTTGACAGTTAAATGGCAGTGGATTTTGTTCACTTCTGTGTAGAGTGACCAACCATCCTGGTTTACTGGTGACAGGAATGTCCAGAGCTGCAGAACTTTCTGTTTTAAAACTGAAATAGTCCTCGGCAAACCCGCCCTTCATGCTGATTCGTTGTTGATGTTAAGTGCTGACTCATACAGACCCTGAATAGCGTTTCCAAGGAGCAGTTGGTGGGTTTGAACTACCAACCTTGTGGTTAGCAGTCCAGTGCTGCCCTTCAGCACCACACCAGGACTCATGCTGCTAGCTGTGGGTTTTCTTTGGTATCTGTCACTGGTTCCCAGTTCTGGGTAAGTGTGAATCTCAGGCTATGTAGCTTGTGATGAAAAGGGGGGAAAAAAAAAAAAAAAAGGTGAAACATATTGTGTTTCAGTTGATCCCTAATTTGTTAGAAATGCGCATGCTTTGGTTCCACTCCAGACCAAGTTCAGTGATAAAGTGAGAATGGAATACAAATATAATTGATCAGAAACTGGGAGTGGAGCCCAGAAGTCTGCATTTTCACATCCCTCCAGAGTATAGCGATGCACACCAAAACCTGAGAACCACTGAAGGCAAGAACCCAGTTATACCAATGACTCACCAAATTACCTGAAGCATGTTCCTATTATGCAGTTCCCTTTGCTGTTTTGTGAAATGGGAACCTTGGATTAGCCAGGTACCTAAAGGCGGTTTCACTGTGTACTTGTGTATTCTTGGTCATCTGACCTCTTGTTGCTATAGTTTCTCATATGGATGGATGGTGGTGGTAGTGGTGGTGTGCTGTGGAGTTGCTTCCAACTCATAGCAAATCTGTATAGGGTTTTTGAGGCTAGAAATCTTTATAAGAGCAGATGCTTTCTGCATCGTTCAATCATATGCCCAGAGAATCCTTCAATAATGAAAGCCGAGGCTTGAATTTTTTCTTCAGTTCCCCCAGCTTGAGAAATGCTGAGTGTGTTCTTCCTTTTTGCTTTTCTGACTCCAGGTCTTTGCATATTTTG